ACCTTCTAAAAATTTGTCTTGCTACTTTATTGATTTTTTACATTAAATAAATATGTTTGTTTTATTTTCATTGCTACTACAAAACTATGTTCAATCAACAGCAAAATCGAAATAATTTATGAAAATTTGATATAAAAATGGTTCTAAGTCATCACCTTACACGTTTTAAGTTAAAATATTTATTAGCTGTGACAATTATTATTTGTCTTAATTTTATTGTTATCATCTTTATAAGAAAATATTTAAATTAAACTTCGTTATTATCAATATCAACTACAACAACTTCGATATCTTCGACAAGTATTACTCGTTTTTTATCGAAAACTTCTACAAATTCTACTCACCTTCTATTGGTATCTTCGATGATTAGTTGTTGTCCATTCACAGTATCAAACATTCAATCTTTTTATGAACATGAATATTCTCAATTAAATTTACCTCAACGAATATCAAATTCATCATATCAAAATATTCTTCATCAACTTCATTCTCTTCGCTTGATTGTCGTATCATGTGCTCGTATATAACGTTGAATCAAATATTAAAAACTATAGATCTCATATTGAACTAATTCTTGATCTTTTTCATTCATCATCTCGTATTCTTATTTGTGAAAGTGATTCAAATGATAAAACTCTCGAAAAACTTAATGAATGGTCTCGTGCACAAGTTTATACATATGGTAATATGTTAAAAACATATTCAGAACGTACTGATCGTCTTGCTTTTTGTCGTAATAAACTACTTAACAAAGCACATGATTTAAAAGCTGATTATATCTTAGTTACTGATTTAGATACATTTTCTACAACAGTTTCTTCTTTTCTTTCTAATTTTCGATATAATATAGATGATTGGTCAGTAATGACAGCATAATCAAGCAGTTCATATTATGATATTTAAAAGTTAAATTGTAATTATCTTGTACCACAGATCTTATTAAGATCTTTACTCAAGATATCAAAACTGTCAGAAGAGTGGAAAAAAGTTAAACTGTAATTATCTTGCACCAAGATCTTGAATAAACTAAAGCGACATCATTAATAGAAAAAAATAATTCAAATATTTGAATTATTTTATTAAAAATATTCATAAATCATAACAGAACAGAAAAAAAAATAAAAAGAGCTTTTTTACAGTCCTCATACATATGAACCAATAAAAACAAAGAATGAACATAAAGATAACAAACGTTATAACGGCCAAGTCTTTATCTCATATAAGCATGAAAAAGCTTATTTAAATAATTATGTATCGATTAATGATGATATATTGGTTCTTCTTAAATATATTAATCATGATTTTTTTCGACGAACAAAATATTTTCCAATTGTAAAAATGAAATTTTTTTATGACAATGATGAGAATGAAGAGACTTAAATTAGAAGTTTTTATGAAATAATTTCTGAATAATTATATTTGTTTTTTAGAAATTTACTGAAGTTTACTTGCGTCAACTTTAATACTAAAAAAATGATCAATTCGATTAACATGTACATTATCAATCTATGCTAATATATCGAGTTGTTGAAATAAACTACGCATTTTTAGACATGTATGTCATTTGTTTTAAAATAATTAATTGCTGTTGTTTATTCGTTTTAGTTTAGTTTTATTTCTGCATATTATTAATTTTAGATATAACAATAAATTTTGTTCGAAAAGTGCGACTCAACGAACAAGATAATGTACGCGTTAATACCGCTTGGCACGCAATGAAAGTGACGTATTTAAAATGCGTCGAAATAATGAATACGAAGACGAAGATGACGATCTTATGGACATCGGTAATTCATTGGATCCAGTAGCTGGCGATATTTCAGATAACAATGCCGTTGTTACTATTGATCAAGCCGTTTCATTGTCATCATCATCGTTGACATCATCGCCTTATGCTGAATTATATGATGAAGCTGATTCAAATTTATTTTTATTATTTTTTATCTTGTATTTCGTGTACTTCTGAATGATTTGTGTCCATACAGATGATTTTGAATTAAAAACAGTTGTTTTGGTGTTTATATTTTATAATGTCTTTTTCTGAAGTTTGTAATTGTATTAGATGTTCACGTGTGTTATTGTATGTTCATGTAGGTTTTAAATTTAAATATATTAGTACAAGATCTGAAGATCTTGCCGAGGTAAAACGTAAATATCATTCATTACAAGATCTTATGCTCAAGATTTCAAATATCTGCTACCAAGATCTTAACAAGCTATACATAAGATCTTAATAATCTGTACCTAAGATCTAGTCACAGATCTTGTGTACAAGATAATCAAATTATCTGTACCTATTTTTTCAAGATCTGTTCACTTATCTGTTCCTAAGATCTTGGCCAAGATCTTACTTACAAGATGTTCGACTAGGGAAAACTACTTGTGAACATGTATCATTTCATTTATGTATACGAGAAAAAAATCAAGGAAGAATTTTTATTAATTCGGAATTTCAAATTCATTAAGTATATAATGATCATCATTTTTGAGTTATGAAATAAATTAAAAACAACCTTAAATGGAACATTCTTTATTAAATTATTATCAATTTTCATATCGACAAAGATCAAATGCACTTTATATATTGTCAAAATCAAGAATGGGTGTGGGTGTGGGTGGGTTAGTATCCGTGCTGATGTGGATACTATTCACCTGGCACTCACATCCCACTCACACCCTTTTGCTTTCTGTTGATCTTTTGTGATGTCTACTTGATTTCTAGCTTGGAAATCAGTTTGTTCCCCTTTGGTTTTTATTTATGTATATAATACCGTTCGATTTAAAGAAATTTAATAAACAGCTTCAATAATAACATTATCCTCTTTGTTTCTCCTTGTACCATTCTCATTATACTCTTTTGCAAAGAAAAAAAACTACCTTCTTCTATTAACTCAACTATAGTTCATTGTTAGATCTTTTAAGATTCTATAGAACTATACGAAATTGTATCAGTCACTATTGCTTACATTTGTTTCAAAAAAACTAATTTATTCTTTTCTTACATATGAGTAATAACAGGTGGTTATGCCTAGATATAAAATATAAATCACTACAATAGCTACTCTTATTACTAGTCGACTGTTTCAATTGATCTTTCTAAGAAGAAAGATATCTGTTAAATTGTTTATACATAAAAAAGATACATTTCTTCGAACACTTAGAAAAAATTGAAGAAAAATATTTGATAAATCGATGGTATTAGAAGAAAACCTGTAATACATGATTTAAAGTGTATTTATTTCTTCTTTCTATAACAATAAAAACTCATCCTCACTATTATATTCATAGAACTATGATAAATTCAAGCAAAACAAATTTTATTTCGATAATACAGAAAGAATATTTCTTTAATTTAACTTTATACACGATTAAAATATTATTTTCATTACATTTGATTTGTTCGAAATTGAATTAAATATTTGAATAGTAAATTCAACTTACTGATCTGAATAATCAAAAATATTTGAATAAATTTGTACGATGAGAAATATATTTTCAAGTAAACCTATATAATCAGATAAAATCTTATCTCCTGTCGTCATCGTTGTTCGTATTAAAACTATTATGAATTTCTTCTTTTTTCTTTTAGTTCAAAGAAATTTTCTTTGTAGATTAAAATGATCGACATATACATTGTCTCAACAAATTCCTATAACAATAGGTCAACAAAAAATTAAAGAAATATCTTCATGTTATTGTAAACATATAAATATACGTCTACGTCTATTGAAGGCAAAGAACAATATCTACACCAACTAATTTATTGAAAAAAAAACAGTGTAAATGTATAAAACTTTATTGAACTTAATCAAGAAATTTTTTATTGTTTTAAATAGTATGAAAATAAAGTTAAAATCCATTATTTTCATCAGTCTTTTATATATACTATCTAATTTATCTCATAATCGACATAATAATTATTCACCTATTCGAGTAACTTTTCGACGTTTTGGTGAAGCTGCTTCATTCAACACAAACTTATTTATGTTCAGCAATGATCGTCGACTATAAAACAAACAAGTCAACATTTCATCAATTTACAATTTAACTTTGAAAAAGACGATTTTTATTTAAATTATTTAAAGGGATAGTAAAATACTACCATCTGCTATTAAATTCAATCGCTATGATTGTTAATTCAAACCGAATCCATCATTTCACATGAAATTCATTTTATATCCTCTTATGACGAATTGCTTCATATTTTGTTTTTCGTCGTAAGGAACAGGATGATAAATTAATATAAAAAATACCGATTTATTGAGCATAACAATTTTTTTCTCATAATAATGTGTATCCATCTGAATCAATTTTTTTGATTAAAAAGAATATTCTTTAAAAAGATAAGTTTTCATTTTGTACTTGTCTAGAAAGATCAAATAAAACAAATATATATGGTTCTTATAGGATCATATATACCACTTGCATAAAACTGTAATTACCTACCTAACATCTTGTAAATTGTAGTAGTACTTCTGATAATTGAACTTCTGTTTCGTTCGGTTAGAATACAGCTGCTGTAAAAATACACAACTCCGTTAATGTTGACCTCTATTGATTTTACTCGTCTGTGCAAACATTCATAAGTACATATGTATCGATATGCTTATCCTTTTAATAAATTCGTAAAACTCGTATTCAATCAATTTCTAATTAGAAACAGATACAAATAAACTGTCCAACACGCTGAAATATCATTTGTTCA